TTGCCTTGCCTTGCCTTGCCTTGCCTTGCCTTGCTTTGCCTTGCATTGACTTGCCATGCCTTGCATTGCCTTGCCTTGCCTTGATTTGCCATGCCATGCCTTGCCTTACCTTACATTATAGTACCTAACGTTACCTTACATTACATTATTTTGGCTAGCCTTACCTTGCTTTGCCTTGCCTTACATTACATTACCTTACGGTACATTACATTACATTAAATTGCCTTGCCTTGCTAAGCTTGCCTTGCCTTGCCTTGCCTTGAAATTGCCTTGCCTTACCTTGACTTACATTATATTACCCTACGTTACCTTATATTACATTATATTGTCTTGCCTTGACTTGCCTTGCCTTACATTACATTACCTTACGTTAACTTACATTACATACATTGCCTTGCCTTGCCTTACATTACATTACCTTACGTTACCTTGCATTACATTACACTACCTTGCCGTCTCTTGATTTACCTTGCCTTGCCTTGCCTTACATTACATTAATTTACGTTACCTTACATTACATTACATTGCCTTGCCTTGCCTTACATTGTCTTGCCTTGCCATACCTTGCCTTGCTTTCCCTTGCCTTGCTTTGCCTTGCCTTGCCTTACATTATATTACCTTACGTTACCTTACATTACATTGCCTTGCCTTACATTACATTACCTTACGTTACCTTACATATCATTACATTGCTTTGCCTTGCCTTGCCTGCCTTACATTACATTACCTTAACTTTCCTTACATTACATTACATTGCCTTGCCTTGCCTTGCCTTACATTACATTACCTTACGTTACCTTACATATCATTACATTGCTTTGCCTTGCCTTGCCTGCCTTACATTACATTACCTTAACTTTCCTTACATTACATTACATTGCCTTGCCTTGCCTTGCCTTACATTACATTACCTTACGTTACCTTACATATCATTACATTGCTTTGCCTTGCCTTGCCTGCCTTACATTACATTACCTTAACTTTCCTTACATTACATTACATTGCCTTGCCTTGCCTTGCCTTACATTATATTACC